GTGGCCCATGGGAAGGAGTCTGCTGACCCGACATTTACATGTTCTAACTTTTCCTTCTCCCGTCTCTCATCTGGAATAAGTTACTTTGATTTCTATATTTTTTACATGAAAACATGTAACACAACAATTTTCCCTACTAATTTGGAAGACATATATTATGTTTTAAATACTACTGTTTTTTACATTTGAGGGGTTTTTTTACTGTACATTTGAACATACGCTCTAAATAACTGTGGTGAAATTTTAGAGTGCGTCTATTGCACGCCCTCAGGTAAGATAAGAAATCTAACACAAAGTCTCTTCCCTCATCGCCTCCTTTTCCATTTTTAATTCCTATTGTTGAATTATACTTTCTAAACAAGTTTATTATTTTAAAATTATTTTGATATTAGTCATACTTTCTTTTATGGTTTACTATGACATTTGAATTGTTTTATAACCATATATGTAAAACTACATAGACTCAACCCTATTTAAAAGCATTCAGTGAATGTTACACTAATATTTTATACCATCTTTTTCCTATTAAGCTTCTTCTTTTTATTCATTTCCCAGTTGGCTAAATTACATTCTCAAGTTTTGCTTTTTTGTTTGTTTGTTTGTTTTTGTGGATGGTATACATTCTGTGCCCTTGAATGCTTGTGACAGTTTTTCTATTGCCTTAAAGTATGGAGAATAATTTTCTTTATAATCAAATTTCTCTAATAGTGTGTCATTCCCCTTTCTTCACTCTCTTGACTTCTCTTTGAAGATAATTACTAAAAAAAGGAAAATGAGCATTGTTTTATTAAGTTCTTTGAAATACCTGTCTTCTCTTTTTGAAGATTAAGACATCTCCATCTGCTTTCCCTAATAATCAATCATCTGTAACAGTTTCTTATCACTGCCTTCTGAAATATACTAACTTCAAGGACATTAAATACTGAAGAGGGAAAACAACTTAGACCAACACAGCTATATTGTAATAAGGCTTTTGATTTGGTTTTATCTGAGAATTCCACCAAATTTGTAGGAAAGGTTTATTTTGAACACATTTATTTTAGGTGGGTAGACAAATTATTTAGAGATCTAATTCAAAGAAGAAACAGTTATGATGGCAAGGAAGAAACATGAATTCAGAGCCAAGAGAGATAGTACTTTTTTTTTAATCATATCATATTGTTGTTATTGACTTGGGCAAATTTTCCCATTAATTTATTAATATATAAACAAGACATAAATCCCATTCTTAATTACTTATGGAACTGCTCTAAGGATTACAAGAAAATGTAAGTCTAAGTTTTTCATAGCTGTAGAGTCTGTACTTAAGTATCATTTTTTATTTTATTGAAATAATGTATGCAATTTGGCAAGTCAAGTAAAGGTATCATTAGCATATTTTTAAAATATCTGTATAATTAAAAATATATTTCCACAATATAAGGTATGATACATATACCAAAAATTAACTCTTCCTTAATATTTAATATTTTAAATAATACAGAATTATCTGTAGTCCCCATAACTCACTTGCAAACACTGATGTGCAAAATTTAGTGTGAAAGTTAATCACTAACCAACTGGAGAACCACGTGCAAAATAATGAAGTTTTACTCAACATCATTTACAAACATTAACTCAAAATGAATCAAAGACCTAAATGTAAGAGCTAAGACTATAAAACATAAGAGTAACTCTTCATGACCTCAGATTGGTAATGAGGGCTATGAAAACAAGCACAAGCAATAAAAGAAAAAATAAAGTGAACTTTGTGAAAAATTTAAAAAGGGCACTATCCAGAAAGTGAAAAGATAACCCACAGAATGAGAGAAAATGTTTGCAAGCCATATATCTGATATAGGACTAGTACCCAGAATATATTAAATATTCTTACAACTGTATAGATACTATCTACTATATATAAAATAGATAAACAAGTTCATACTGTATAGCACAGGGAACTATATTCAATATGTTCTAGTAACCTATAATGAAAAAGAATGAAAATGAATATATGTATGTATATGTTAAAAAAAAAAATGAAAGGATATGCAACTGACCTAAACAAAGGGTAAAAGAGTTAAATATTTTTTTAAGAAAATATACAAACAGCCAATAATCACATGGAAAGATGATCAACATCATTAGTCATTAGGGAATCACAAATCAAAATCACAATCAGATACTAGGATGGTGAGGATAATAATTTTTTAAATAAATAAATAACAAATGTTTTCAAGGATGTGGAGAAATTGGAACCCTTGTACACTGTTGGTGGGAATGTAAAATAATGTAGCTGCTGTGGAAAACACTTTGATGGTTCCTCAAAAAGTTAAACATAGAATTACTAATGACTCAACTCTTCTACTCTTAGTTATATAACCAAAGTAACTGAAAATGGATGTTTAAACAAAAACTTGTACCAGAATTTTCAGAACAGTAATATTAACAATAGTGGAAATGCCCATCAATAGATATGGATAAGTAAAACATGGTACCACATGTACAATGGACTATTATTCAGCCATTCAAAGGAATTAAGTGCTGATACATGCTACAATATAGGTGAACCTTAAAAACATTATACTATCGATATATCTTATGATCCCATTTATACAAAATGTGCAGAATAGTTAATAACAGTTAATATAGTTCCTATAGAGATAGGAAATAGATGAGTTTTTTTTTCAGGACTGGGGGAATAGAGAGTTGTTAAGGGGATAATAGCTTAAGGATACTGAGATTCTCTTTTTGATAATGAAAATTATCTAAAATTGACTATTGTGCTGATTGCACATATCTTTGACAATACCAAAAAAAATTGAATTATATTTTAAATATGTGAAGTTTATGGTATTGTAAACCATATTTCAATAAAGCTTTTTTTTTAAAAAAAGCTAATGATTATTCTGTACGGCTGTTTTATTCTTGTTCACACAAGGGCTCTCCCTGATACTGCTGATGTCCTCCTTATCCTTCTCTACACTCTGACATGAACATGGGAAGTTTGCACCTGTAATTGTGGTGACTTCGCAGGATTGTGAACTATGAAAGCCTGAGATTGAGACAGGCGGGAAGGGGGCAGGGCAGAGCCATTCAAGGAATGACAGCAATTAACACCAAAATGGTGGAAGATTCAACTCCCAGTTGGCCCTGAGGATTAAGATGGCAGGAGGTTTGACCTCTAGTAGACCTTGAGCTTCATTATATGCTCATTGTAACAGTGTGATAAATAACATGCCCGCAGGGGCACCATGACTGTCCCAAGGCTAACCACAAAAGGCCAAAGAATGGGCGGTGGCCCAATTCCTGGGAATCCCAGCCCCTTCCCCAGCGTAGTTGTAATGGCCCCACCTGTAGACATGAGAAGCTACCGAGCCATAAAAACTGGCAACACCATGCCTGGTGGCCCTTTTTTTCTGCTCCCTCCTCTTCGGAGATGGTCCACAATCTCTCTGTGGAGTGTGTACTTACTCTTACTTTAACCTGAGCACCCAACTCCCAAACCTCGTGGCCTTTCTCTTGCCTTCTGAAAC